TGTATATATGTGTGTGTGTATATATATATATATATATATATATATATATATGTATATGTATATGTATATATATATTGCTAATCAATTTTCAAATGATCCTAATAATTATTTGTAACATTTAGTTTTGTGTTGATTTCATAATTCATTTTGTATCAATACATTTCCATAATATATTTATATTCAATATTATAAAATTATATTCAATATTTCACATGAACAGCATGAAATGATTGAATCTTTAAAAATTTATTCATGTGATAAAGATTGATTCTGCTATTGTATGTTATACAATTGTAATAAGCATGTCCCATTCTCAAGATCACGTATTATGTAGATGAAAATAAATGTGATCTAAAATTTTTGTGAAATATTTTATAATATATTAATACTGTTAAGAATAAAATTTTGTACTAGTTCAAATTAAATTTTGAAGTTATAGGAGTCAATTTGTTAAATCAGAGATATTTATTTCATATTTGATTTTATATTTGTGATTGCAATTTATAAAAAATAAATGCTAGAAAAATTACTTATATATATTTCGTATAATATTTTTAATGTGATGATGTGTAAATATGTTAAAAGATAAAAACTTTTGATCATTTATAAAGTTATTATTTAAATGTTTTTATTATAAAAACGAATGAGATGATAATGAAATATTTTAAAATTAACTTAACAATCTTGTCATAATTTTTGAAACTTTGACCATTTCTGCACATCCTTCAGTAAGTTTAACTACCTCATGAAGAAACTTTTTAAATATCTTTTTATTTCCTCCTTTATACTTTTTGACCCATTTTGGATTTGCTTCAAGTACTTCTAAACATAATATTTCTAATTTCTCTTCATTTGATATCATAAACCAATTATTTTCTTCAACAATCTATATGGAGAAAAAAAATTTCAATTATTATAAATTTTAAAATACACAAAAATATAAGAATACTTCAATTCTATTTACCTGTTCTGGCATCTTATTTGATTCACTAAGTAATTTATTTAATAATCTTCTTAATATATGCTGATTTATTACTCCAGCTTGTAGTAAATCAATTGTCTTTTCAATATATTTCTGATTACACACACTAAAAATACATTATATAAATATATTTTTTTAATTAAGAATTAATTGCTGTAATAAACTTACCAAAATGCGAAATTCAATTTATGTTCATCTATAAATGCACATACTTCAGAAATAAGAATTTGAGCTACCAATTGATGCTTACGATGTTTACCATTATTTAAAATGTCACGAAATAATAGATATAATTCTAAGTCACTCTAGAAATAAAAATTAATTAATATATAATGTTTTAGATATTTTACATGTTTTAAACATACCATTATTGCTATAAATACATGTGGTGTAAGGTGGTTCTGTAATTTTTGACGTATTTGTTCTGGCAATTCTGGTAATTGCTCTTTTAAAGATGAGACATTAATTAGATTATATTTATTTTCTATGATATTATCAATGTGTAAATATAATGGTAACAAATTTGATTCAGGCATAAAACGATAATCCTAAACAATAATAAATATGCAATGTTTTTTATAATAAAAATTATTACAAAAATTAAATAAATATAAATTAATATGTAATTTAATATTATTACATGTTTTTCTTCTTTTTCACGCATAAGAATTGTTTTTTTGTCTATTGGATTCCATGCACGAGTTTCATTGATAACTTGACCTCCTGCTTCTAAAATAGAAATTTGTCTTTTTATCTCATATTCTATAGCATGATTGATAGCACCTATACTTCCAATGTTTTTTATTTCAGTACGAATACCTAAAGGTGCATTAGATTTGTTTACAGAAACATTTGCATCAACTCTTAAGGCTCCTTCTACAACACAAAACTATCTATTATTTATAATAATATTATTAATAATAATATATTATTATTATTTATAAATAAAAATTGTATAAATAAAATGACCTTCCATTTTACATGAACATGTGCCTAATAATTGTAAAATAAAACAAAGTTCTTTTACAAGAGCTGCTGCTTCTTCTCCATTTGTTAAATCTGGTTCAAAAACTAATTCCATTAAAGGTATTCCAGCTCGATTAAGATCAATTAAACTTCTGTCATAAATGACATAAAGTATTTATTGAAATGAATTTATTTAATGAAATAAATTAAATAAAATATTATTACAATTATTTTTAATCATTAAAAAAAAAATTAATAATACCTTCCAAACTCTTCATTATGAAAACTTCTTCCACTATCTTGTTCTAATTGTATCTGCTTAATTTTTGATGATTTTATGTAAGGTTGTTTATGTATTTTAGGCTTAAATACATTAAATTTAATTTCTCCATTAACAGCTAATGGTTTTTTTTGTTGCGTAATTTGAAAGCCTGCCTACAAAAAAGTTATATGTAATAAATATAAAAAAACAAAAATAAAATTTAAATCATATATTTTATTTTTAATAATTATACTTTAGATGTATGAAATGTAATGAAATATTATTTATAAAAATTATATTTACAGGTAAATCAGAATAAAAATAATGCTTTCTCTCAAACATTGAGACAGCATTTATTTCACATGATAGAGCCAAAGCAGTTAATATTCCAGCTTCTACACATTTTTTATTTAATACCTATAAAAATATAATAAGGAATTATTCAATTACTCTATTTTAAAATACTTACTATATATAAAATACTTATTTACTGGCATTGTTCCAGGTATTGCACAATCAAAAAGTGATACAGCAGAATTAATTGGATTATTAAAATTTGTAGAAGCTTCAGAAAATAATTTTGATTTTGTTAAAATTTGTGCATGTATTTCTAAACCTATTGTAGGCTTCCATTCCCTTCTATAAAAATATTTTATTATTTTTAATATATAATATATGTATACATTTTTGGGATATTTTTACAAATAATTTTTACAAAATAATTAGTTACATACTTACATGTCTGTAGAAATATATTGAATATCACATTTCTTATATATATTTTCATAATAACTTTTTATAAAATTCTTTAGTTCAGTTCTTCTACATAAAAACATCTTAAAAATATATTATATAAATGAAGTATAGCATATTTCTTTATATCTAAAAATATATATGTAATAAAATTTGTTTTTAACAATGTAAAAATATAAAAATATATATATTTTTCAAATTTTAATCCATATTGTATTACTTATTTAATAACTTATTAAATAACTAAATTTATATTTTTTACATAATTCATTTTTAAAATAAGAATTAAATTAATAATAAATAAGTTTCTCTTTGATTACAATTGTACTTACATGCATGCTTATTTAAATCTTATATGTAATTTCAAATATATAATATGTTATGCTATATATATTCCATATAAAAAGTAAAATGAATATATTTATATAATTTAGACATCAAGTTATAAACAATATAAATTAAATTTTTAATTTGTAAATCATTCAAAATCAAAATATAAGAAAATATCAAAATTTATAAAAAAATCACTTTGTAAATTAATAAATTATTGAAAATTATTACAATATATAATTTTATAAACTTATTTTTTGTAACAATTTAATAAAAAACATATCGTTTGCTATAATTCATATATTTTATATTATTCTATGATTTTAATCTATATAATGAATATTTTAAAAATAAGAAACATCGACTTAAATTACAATACTATTGTGGCGCTATCATATGGAAGAATAAGAAGTTTAGAATTAGATACATTAATCAATATACGTCATACATTCGTATATCACTATAAACTAGGCCATATTTATTATAATACGATATAAAAAATAGTAAATAATTATTTACAATTAAATTAAAATATAACTAATATGCAAAACAATATATAAGAAATATATACATATAAATTTATTATCTGTCATTCTAATATTAAAAATTAAGGTAATTTAAATTAAATTTATATGTTTACTACATTATCATGGATATTTTTTATTAATTTTAAAATAGTTAATCAATATTGATTTCAATATATTTGATTTTTATATTTTTTAACCTTTAAAAAATAACAAACAAAATATAGAAATTATTTTTTTATATATTATATAATTCTAATGTTTTATAAAAAGTTATATAAAAACTATTTATTAAAAATTCTAAAAAATTTCTAAATATTTTCTCATATTTTCTCAAATATATATAATATATATAAATATATTTCAAATTGCAGATGTCAAAATTAATGGAATGGCTTTTATTTGCTACTTTATTTTTTGGTATATGGATTGCTGCAATTACTAAAAATGTTAATTTATCTTTTATCGCAGAGTGGAAACAAGTTGTTCTTTTCTTTCCACTTATTGTTTTATTTATATGTAGTTTATATGCAGCTATTATTATTTTATATAGAGTTTTCACATTTAACAATTGTGAGCATGCAGCTATTGAATTACAAGAAGTATGTTTAAAAATATTTATAATATTTATTAATATTATATAAAATATTAGCAAATATTGATAAATTTTTTCTAAATCTTATATTTTTAGCAAATAGAAGAAGCTAAAAAAAGATCTTCAGAATAAAGGTATAGTTTTAAAAAATAAATGATAAATTTTTATATTCAAAATCAATATCATCTGAATCAAATAATGTAATAATATATAATTATCGTATTTATCTTACATAAAGATTATATTTATGTATATTTTTTATGAAAAAAATATTTAAATTACATAAATTAAAGAATTGTAACAAAAGCAAGTATTTTCTATTTACAAGTAATATTGAATTTATATATATTTTTTTTATTTATTAAGATTAAAAAAATGCTTAAAAAAAGTTTCTTATTAAATAATAATTGGATAATAGTAATTATTTTTTTTATTTTTATGTAAATTTTAATGCTTTTATTCATTACAAGTAAAATTCAATAATAAAAATCTGATATTGTTCAATAATATTTTTATTTGTAATGCATTATCATTTTTTGTACTTAAAATAATGAAAATTAAGTTAAGATGTATATGACATAAGATTTATATATTTTAACTCTTTCTAGCATGAAAATCTTTAATCTGGTAATCTTTAAATTGCATAATAACAAACATTTAATCTAACAACAAAACATCAAAACATATAGTTTATTTATGTAGAGCTATGTGTTCGTACATACATATGTATGTATAATAAAATCAAACTATAATCTAATACTCAAGACTTAACTTTATATTATACTTATACATTTAAAAACAGGGAAACTAATATATTCATTTGTGCCTAGACTCATCATTTTTATTTATTAAATATGTAATTTTGCAATAGTATTTGTTTTACATTGTGCTATATTTCTAAAATTTTAATATCAGTACTAGTATCTTAAAAATTCGAACGATTCCTAATAAGTTACATATTACTATGTTAAGGCTACAACATATTGAATGCGTTTTTATAATATTAATAATCTCATTGCCTTCACTTTTATAGAAAGTTAATTACAAATTTTCTTTATAGATTTATAGTTCTTGTAAGTCACCTTGTATTTATCTATTTAAGATATTCATGTATGATTATTTCTTATTAACTAGTCATAAGTTATTTGAGTTTTTTAGATGAAAAATGGATATCGATATCGAGGTCAAAACAAATTTAAAACAATATACGTATATGTTACTTAAGTTTTCATTTTTTTTTCACTTCAAAATTTCTTACATTTTGTTATTTTGTGATAAATGAAATGACTTATAATGTGTTATTAATGAATAACTATTTTCACCATTTTTGTTTAAAAAATACAAGACTTTTTTATACATACATACATAGGCGCAAGTTATACGCAAGTACACACATATATACATATGCAATCATACATATACGGATGCACTTACATAATTTTTATATTAGAAAGCCTATCAAATGTACAAAATATGCTTATCATACATACATTTTGAATACACATATATCTTTACTTGTGTATACAAATTTATATGTATGTGTAATTGTACAATATCTTCATATATAAATACAAAGTATTTATATCTTTGTATATCATAATTCATAAAACAAGCAGGCTTTCTTACATAAAAATGTAATTACACTGTTCCATATATTCAAAAAACAGAAAGTTTTGCCAAAGAGTAATTCTTAGACTGCAAGGATGGATATAACACTTAATAGCAAGATAGCAAACTTTAATCGCAAAATACTTAAAAAAAGTTATAAATTTATATATTTTGAAATAGACAATTTAAAGCTACAAGAAATTTAACACATGAAATATTCTGATATATACTCTCAATAAAATTTTATCATTTATCAAATAATGCCAATATAAGATTAACAACTAACTAGAGAATTAATATAATAAATATGTGTGCATATAATTATATACAAAGTAAAGATGACCAGTTGAAGTAAAAAAATGCCTGTGTAATTACCCACCCTATATCAGTCCTTTAACTCCTTATTATGAAATCAATGAAGTGTGTTACTTCAGTCATCAAGACTTTGTGATAACAAAAAATTAGCAGCAAGATTTTCATTTTTTTCACACGCAAAATAGGCTTGTACGACTAAATGTTCCGGAAATCCTAGTGCCTTCAGCCTCTCAATAGCTTCTTTATCCTGAGGTGTTACCTGAATTACAGAAGTTTCTACATCTGATCCTGTTCCTATACCTGCGCCAAGTCCTCCACTTATACCACCAGGAGCAGTTGCTGGTGTAACAGTAGAGGCAGATACAGGTGTAGTTCTTCCTCCAGTACCACCAGTAGTTTCCACTACTCCAAAATAAGATGTATAATAGCATAAATATACTCATAAATAGATAAATCAAAACTATTTTTATTTTAATAAAAAACAACTAACCAGGTTCATTAAGCATACGCACAAATGCTTCTTGATTTTGTGAAATAAGTTGTAATAATGCAGGATTGGTTTGACCAATTTGTTGTAATACAGCATTTAATAACTGAGGATTTTGTTGAATAACTTGCCGCATTTGTTGAAATTGAGGTTGCATTCGTAAGAATGCCAATGGATGTTGACCATGATCTTGAAGTTGTTCTTGTGCTTCAAGTTGATCTTCTGGTAAATCTTCAAAAAGTTGAGCTGGTATTCCTGTTAGAAGATATTCAACAGCTCTATCAGGATTGTTGAAACTTGCTCTTAATGCTTGTTCAACTTGTTCTCTTTCATACCTAATATACATAATATAATTAAAATAATAATTACATAGATATAGATTTTTTTTCTTTTATTGAACATATATCTACCCCATATCCACAATATTGTTCACCATAGTATTATAATCTTCACCCATTAACAAGGCACTTCAGCTTGACCTCCAACACATCCAGCAGTAGTACTTGCTTCAGACTGTTCTTGTATAATATTACCAGGGCTTGATGCACCCTGAACTGTAGGATTTGAACTAGGTTGTGCTACTAAGCTATGGCAAAAATCATATGTTAAGAATAACATACTTAAACACAACTAAAATAAAATTATTTATGAATGTCATTTTTAATAATTTCAATTAAGAAATTAAATTTAATAAATAAAAAAATAAATAAATAATACTCTTAAAATAAATAAAAAATACTCTTTAATTATACTTAATTATATTAAAAAAATTATTATAAAATATGCAACTTTATTAAAAATACTTTTTAAATGTATTTAATACCTAGTTGTACTACTTTCTTCTTTATTATCTGCACTTGTATGTTCTTCATCGGTTGTTGTATGACCATTACCAGTCTTAAGTTTTGTTACCATAACAACTATAAACTTTTTTTCATCTATATTATATTCTGCTAATGGATGATCATCTGTTAATATTTTTCCTATAAAAATAATATATTATTATTACAAAATTATCATTACAAAGTTATTCATTATTTTATATAATAATAATATTTGCAAAAACGGAAATAAATTCTAATATTTTCTAATTTTTTAATTTAACAATATTAAAATAAATTTAATCAAAAAAATTATTAGTTTATAAACAGCAAAATGTATTATAAAATTTACAACCAAATGAAAATAAGGTTATGTAAGCTATATCGCTCACCAGCATATATTAACTTCTGATATTTAGCAGGAAAACCTTTTTGAGTTTCAATTTTTTGCTTTAAATCCCTTACCTATAAAAAGCGTAGTTAAAATTGATTATATTAAAAAACCTACATATTTTACATTTACTACATTCACTTACTGTTTGCGATGGATCAATTTCTACTGTAAATGTCTGCTGCTGCAAGTTTTTTAGTGTTATAATCATATTGTAAGATGAAGAATTAGTGGTACGTTGTTGGTTGATAAAGGAAACTTTGAAGGATCTGGTGTAATAAGGCTATAAAGATGTTTTGGTAAAGATCTTTTCAGCGATGAGTCGGCACTGCTTAAAGCAACTTACAAATGCTTAACTCAGGCTAATATGCAGCTGAAAACATATGATGACATAAAGCAGTATTTCCAATGATGAACAATTGAATATATGAAGTATGTACTAAAACAAGACTAGTTAAAATCTATTAGTATTTTTACACATATTTATTAAAGTATTATATTTATTTTTAAATATTCTATTAATATTTTTATTAAATTATTAATCTAATTAATTTTTTATTAATATTTAATTAATCATAATAAGATAAATAAAAAAAGTATAAATAAAACAAATATAATATCACAGTTTATTTTAGATACAGATGGCAATAATAAAGTTTGCAATATCAGAACTGTCTTTTTGATATAAACGTAATCTGGTTACTAAAAAGTCCCGCGATTATGAAATATTTCTTTGAAATAATATACGTTGTCTTATATGTTTTCAAATTAATGTAATAAAATTAATATAATGATAATAATGAATACAATGAATAATTATAATACATTATAATATATAATATATAATAATATGTATATAATAACAGAAATATATTTCATATTTATATTAATATTGTTAATACATATATATATACATATACAATCATATCATTATAAATTGTTAATATAATTAATATAATTATATATATACTTAAAATAAAATATATATTATTTCAAAAATAATAAATTTATATAAATTTTCATTAGAATCTTAAAATAAAACTTATTTAATAAATAATAAAACTATATAAATACTTCATTAAAATATTAAATAATAAGATTTTCTATACTTACAAATACAACATTGATTCATTTAAGACCATAATTTAAACTAAGTATTAAAATTATGCTAATATGCTTATAAATAAATATTAAATGTGTTTTTGTAAATTTTATTTTTTGTAATGTAATTTCATAAATACACATATATAAATGTGAATAAACATTGTGATTTTTTTTATTTATATGTTTATACATTTGTAAATAACTAGAGTAAAACTAAAAATATTTCACAGTTATAATTTAAAAATATATTACATAATAATGCTCAATAATTACTCAATAAATTAAATTATAAAATGTATTGAGATACACAAAAACTATATTGTTTTTAACATCATGGATAGTATATTCTTATTCAGAATTTAAAAAATTAAAATATAATGATAAACTTAAGGATTATGTATATAACATATTTTCTCTTTTAATTACATTGATTCTTTAATGAAATTATTCAAATTATAAATTAAATTAACTTGTTAATGTTTTAAAAATGACATTTCTTAATATTTTTATATTATTTTTTAATAATTTATGATTTGAGTATCTGAATACATGTACATGAAAAATATATAAATAATTATAATTTAAATTTTTGCAAATTATGTATACATTATATATATTTATATATAAATTCTGTGTTATATATTTACTTTTTAATAATTTTTATACAGAATTACAAAAACATTAAAATATTTTTTTGATGAAATAATCATTAATATAATATAATTTAATAAGAATGGCGGAAAGATTAATAAACAAGAAAAACTAAAAAAAGAGATTAATAAACAATTTTTTAAAAAGAAATATAAAATAAAACTAAATTAATATGTTTTTTTTTAAAATATAATTAAAATTTTATCTAGCTTTATCATATTATTATTTATCAATACATTTATCAATTTTATCTATACATTTTCTGTAAGTTACATTAAATTGTTTTATATTAACACTTACAAAGTAAATGCAAAAATCCAGAATGTTCTCCAATTTTTATGATTAATATGTATAATTATTCTTGATATGATGTATTTGAAGTTACATTGATCATCTCTGTTACGCTAAAAAATATATAACAAAATTATATAATCAAATTACAAAAAATATTAATAAATTATTAATATAAAATTCTTAAAATATTTAAAAAATTATTTCTACATATAAAAAAAAATTTAACAATTTAATGCAAATAAAATATCTTAACTAAATTTTTAATAAAGTATTTAATATAACATAATGAATTTTCTACATCTTACCTTCTAAACAATTACATGCTATATATTTCTAGATATTTTTACATAGTTTTTATGCTTAAATATAATTATTTTATATATCAATAAAATCCTGATTTCTCTGAAGTAGTTAGATTAAATATATATTAAACATATGTTAAAAAGAATGATATATTGAATTCTGCATTGATTAATTTTTATTTTATATTACTTTTAAATGATATGACATTAGTAAATATATATTAGTAAATATATTATGTAATGTATAAAGCATAGTTATATTTATGCAATGTATAAAGCATATATATGAAGCATATGATATAAAAATACGAATAATATAAATTTTTAATAAAAAATATATAATTCAGTCACAGTTATGCAAAAAATTTGAAGAATCAAAAATAAAAAATAATAAATGTAATATGTAATTACATGCATATGATTAGCTTTTAATTATAACATAAAAATTAAATACAAAATATATATATATATATAATAAATCAATAAAATTTGATATTTAAAAACTATTCATATCAAGCCATGTATAAAACAATATTAACAATATTTCTTGCAGGATAGACATAACACAATATCACAAACACTTACAAGAACAATTACGGTGCCCTAAGCATACTTTGTTGCAGTCATCTTTACATTAGTTTGCTGTATAACATACATTATATAATGTTATATAAATTTTATTATCAAATTTAAATTCAATATATATAATATTATAAATATGAATTGATAAATTAATTTAAAAAAAGCATATTTAATTTCTAAATTTTTAATTAAATATTTTTTAATCTATAATTTAAAGGAATATTTTTAAAGGAATAATATTTTCAAATTTGTTAAAATCTTATATTATATATCATATTATAGAGATTTATAGATGCACTTATTGTCAAGCTTTCCAATTAATTATTTTTCTGAAAAATAAATATAATATAATAAATATTATTAATAAATTTATTAAATAATACCTTTAATATTCCATTAATTTTTTAAAAGCTTGATAATAAATGCAAAAATGTGATGAATGCAGGTGATAAAAGAAGTACTTATATATAGGATATTTGTTTTATCTGAATACACTGAAATAAGAAATGTTATGCACAAAATATTCTTATAAAAGATGCTTGTTATAAAAAGATAATATATTTTCTTATACCATATATATCATATAACCAATACCATATTACTATATTATCAAATAACTTTTGTAAAAATATTTTTTTCATAACATTCTTCTTTAAAAAACATTTCATTGCATTTAGAAACAAACATATATCCTTTAAAACAAACATATTATATATTCTTTTTTTTTAATTTTATTATAAAACTTTTAGTTCAATAAGAATTGAATTTTAAAGCAATTTTTAATTTTTTTAATTAAGCCTCTTTTAAGCACAACACCATTTAGTAAAAATCAAAGAAGAAAAAATATAATTAATATATAAATTGATCTTTACCTTTTAGAACATTTGATGTGTATTATTAATAATATAATGCCTAATAACAAACAAATACATCCTACAACTATATAAGCAATACCAAGAAAAGGGTTTTTTCCACCAAGAAGAGAAGTAGTGCTTAAAATCATTCTTTTTCTACCATTAAAGGCAGATACAGGATATGCTGAAAAAAATTAATAGGAATTTATTACATATTTATTATTTAAAATTATTTTTAATTTGATTTCAATTTACAATTGATAATTTTTACTTACCATAATTAACAGTAAGTGTATAATTTCCTGCTGCTAAACCTCCAGCAAAACCACTTTCTGTATGGTTTACTCTGCGGTATAGTTTTCTAAAAGTAGGCAAAGCAGCAGTTCTCATCCAAACAATTAAATCTTCATTTTGAAAACCATTATTGTCTTCATTTTTTTTATCTAACTCAAAAATATGCTTACTCCAATTCTTTGGTTTTGCAAATTTCTCAAATGCTTTTTTCAAATCACCCTCAGGATTTTTAAATTTTATATTTTTATCTGAGGGCCAAGCTATACCAGTTTCTAGTAATGGTACATTAGTATTATGACTAACAGAATATAATTCTAATTCATCACTAAATAATGAATTAGCAATAGCACCACATGGTACAATAGCTTTCCCTTCATCATAAGCAAATGGTTCACAATCTCCTGAGACAACTTCACTTAATTTTCCTAATAATTGATTATCATCCCTTGACTTTACGTATCTTCTATGATTTTGATAAAAATTAGTCAAACCATAATACATATAAATTTTTCCATTGAAATCATCAGGCAATGTGAAGTTTAATTCACAACGACAAAAATTTGAACGATTTTCTGCTATAACATCAGCACATTTAACAGGTATTCCTTTTGTATGATTAATATTTGCAGAATAACAATCAGTATAATCTAAAATATATTCTTTAACTTGATCAGAAAAATAAAGCAATCCAACTCCAACTGGTATAAAAGCAATACCAATTACAAAAAATGTTGGTAAAATAGTTCCAGCAGTAAGTATTGGTTGCCAAGCAGGTAAACGTTGCTGTTTGAATGCACTGTCTATATTTAAATAAAACATTTGTTATAAACTATTAACTATTCGTTATTAATTTATATATCATATATAAATTATTTATATTATAATAAAAAATAAAGAGAAATTTAATTCAACATTCAAATAATATACATATATAAAAGAATATATAGAATTACACAATAAAAATATTATGCTTTAATAAAGATAATAAAGATAATAATAAATCTTTTTACTATTTTATTATTATTATTATTGTTATTATAATTTATATTATTATTTCATTTTTACTATTAAATTAGATTAAATTTTGTATAATATTTTCATGTATATACTAAATAAAACAAATATAACCTAACAAAAAATAAGCTTTTATAATAAAACTTACCCGAAGGTTTTTTCGTTTTAGGTATCGAACTAACTTCATTGATAGAAGTCATATTTCTTTATTAAAATAACAATTTATTTTCTTCTTAAACTTCAAAAATTAAACACTAACATTTGCAAAAATTAGACATTAATCATTTTTAAAACACTTTTGACGACATATCATAGAACAATGATTAATATGATATGATAAATATCTTAAAAATTAATTTCGAATTAAATTATGTCAAATTAAACACTTTTATTAATTGTTATGTTTTATTATTTACAAAAAGTATTTCTTTAAATAATTAATAATTTGATACTTATTATAATTCAAGCTTCAAATTAATTATATATTAATTATATATAGATAGTAATAATATATAGATTTTTTATTTTTATATTAAATTATTTTTAGTTCCTTACAATTTATCACTATTTTCCTAGATTAAATAAGACATAGAAGAGACTTAATATTCAATGCATTTTTTATGGTTAATAAACCACAAATTCCTTTAACTTTTTTGACTTATCACAGATTGGATGTAGCATATATCAGATGAATAAGATATTTATTATCCCATATACTTTGTGTGTTATACTTCGGGAATAAACGAGTTAACAGATAAATCTATCTAAATATATTTAATATATTTTTTTCTCCCATATTTCAAGAACTAAACTATTTCAGTGTCACTTTCAATGTTATCGATTCAATTCAAAAGACTGTGTAGCATTTGTAATGGTTAGAACCTTGTTTATATTTTAGATAATTTTTGCACTTAAGAAATGAGTCCAATATCCAATTATCTTTGTTTATCTTTGCTTGACTTATTGATTAAAAATCTCAACATATCTATTTGATTCAATTTTTATGTGTATATTATGTAAATATATGCATCTTATATATTTTTATATATTTATAATTTATACTAAAGAATATCAATGTATTCATAGAACATTTTTTTGTGAGATTCATTTTAAAGATTAAAATCACATAAAAATATATATAAATATTAAGAAAATGCATAAATTAAATAAATTAATATTTTAAATTATGGATTAAAAATACAGTTTATTGTAAAAATGAAATATATTTGTACATTATAATTGTAGGGAAATAAATGACACAGACTTGAAAAAACTCTAGAACTTTATTACTCATTTTTTAACTTCTCCTATTTCTGCTATGAAACATTCTTCAGAAGAAGTATTTTTTTAATTACCAAAATTATTCTTGACAATAAAAGTCAACATATAGTGTTTATATGTATTTGTATGACTATTGTGTTTTAATATTTAAATATGGAATTCTTTAATGTTATTTATAACGTGCAAATATTATACATTAAAAACTATATAATAATGAATAATATTTGCACATGGCTCTTGCATAGCAGAGAATTATTAATTAATTTATATTGACACTTAGCCTGAAAAAGAAGCAAGGAAGTCAGTAACAACTTGCTTCAATTTTGCATCAGAAGCTTCACTAATTGTGTTATCTTTAGCAATAGTATTAAGAAGATCTCGTTGACTAGTTCTGGAAGAATATGTAATTAAATAAATAAAAATGCAAAAATATATTTAAATAGATATGTATAATACAATTTTAAATTAAGTACCTAATGTGTGCAAGAAATTCTTTTTCGAAAGCTGTAATCTTAGTAGGTTCCATCTTATCAAGATATCCACGAACACCACAATAGATAACAGCAACTTGTTCTTCAATGGCCATAGGTACTAAAAACATTAAGGAATATTTTTATTTTTTATCAGATTTTTTGTATAATTTAAATTCATCATTTATACATATCATAAATTTTTACCATATTGTCCTTGTTTAAGAAGTTCTGTTAATCTAACACCACGATTCAACAATTGCTGTGTTGCAGCATCTAAATCAGAACCAAATTGAGCAAAAGCTGCAACTTCACGATATTGGGCCAATTCTAATTTCATCGAACCAGCGACCTATTAAATAAAACGTAAAAGTTACTTAAAATTTTAGAAAATATATATGATTAATAATATATATTAAAATATATATTATAATATATAAAATATATATTAATAAATTCATCAAAAATACCTGTTTCATAGCCTTAGTTTGAGCAGCAGAACCAACACGAGATACTGATAAACCTACATTAATTGCAGGACGAATACCCTTATAGAATAATTCTGTTTCTAAGAAAATTTGTCCGTCGGTAATAGAAATAACATTTGTGGGAATATATGCAGACACATCACCAGCTTGTGTTTCAATGACAGGTAAAGCTGTTAATGAACCACCTCCCAAACTTTCATTCATTTTAGCCGCTCGTTCAAGAAGACGAGAGTGAAGATAGAATACATCACCAGGATAAGCTTCACGACCTGGTGGTCGTCTTAATAATAAAGACATCTGTCGATAAGCAACAGCTTGTTTGGATAAATCATCATAAATGATTAAAGCATGCTTTCCATTATCCCTATGAAAAATTATTTTATTGTTATATTTAAAATAATGCAAAGAAAATAAATATTATTTAAGAAAATTATTTTACATAAACATACCTGAAAAATTCTCCCATTGCACATCCAGAATATGGTGCCAAGTATTGAAGAGGTGCTGCATCAGAAGCAGTTGCAGAAACAATGATAGTATAATCCATAGCTCCACTATCTGTTAAGCGTTTTACTATTTGTGCAACGGTAGATCTTTTCTGACCAATAGCAACATAAATACAATACAATTTTTTCTTCTCATCTCCAGCATCATTAAATCGTTTTTGATTAATAATTGTATCAATAGCAAGAGCAGTTTTTCCAGTTTGTCTATCTCCAATAATTAATTCACGTTGACCACGACCAATAGGTACTAGAGAATCTACAGCTTTAATTCCAGTTTGCATAGGTTCTCTAACAGATACTCTTAAAAAAAAAAAAAAGAAAGAAAATATATATATATATATGTATATATATATATAGGAAAAAATCAAATATCAATATATTTGGTAGATCAATTTAATAAAATATAAAATAAAAGATAAAATAAAAAATATATATTAAATCAAATATAGTACGAATTTTCTTCCATCTAATTCTTTTTAATTATTCAATATTTTATTAATTCTGTATGTATATAATTTGAATTAAATTTTTTTATATTATTAATTAAGCTATAATTAATTATATTCTTAATTAAGCTAAAAAAAGTATTTAAAATAATAATTTTAATTCTATAATATAATTAATCTATTTAAAAAATAAACTATGTATAAGCACCCAAAGTTATAAGTATAAATTAATTTTTATAGAATTATATAAAAGAAAAATATACAGCAATATATAGATTTAAAAGTGCAAAACATTAACACAAATAATATGCAATGCAAGTGTTAATACCAAAAATTAAAACAATTAGAATAAACTAAAAAGGTGATCTCAAAGAAAAGAAAAAGGTTGTTATTTTGAATATTTTTTTTAATTTCTATAAGTAAAAGAAGATAAAAAATGAATAGAAAATAAAAAACTATTATTCTATTACAATTATATATAAAATCTATTTCTTTAACTAAATAATCTTAACTAAAAAATGAATGGATTAAAATCTGTAATATAAATGATTTCTTTAATTTAATAATCTATCAAACATATTGATAATATTCAGTTTTCTTTTGAGATATGATTAACTTTATATAATAAAAAATTTAAAAAAATACAATTTAAAGATAAAAATATTTATATTTTAATGAGAATAAATACCTAGGAATGATACCAGGTGCTTTAGTACCAATACGAAATCTCAATTTGCTGTTAAGTGGTCCTTTACCATCAATAGGATTACCTAATGCATCTACAACGCGTCCTAACAATTCTTCTCCAACCGGAACGTCAACAATAGCTCCAGTACGTTTAACAATGTCACCTTCTTTAATGTGTCTATCATTACCAAAAACGACAACACCAACATTGTCTGGTTCCAAGTTCAGAGCCATGCCTTTTAATCCTGAACTAAATTCCACCATTTCATCAGCTTGAATATTTTTAAGACCATAAACACGAGCAATACCATCACCAATACTAAGCACTCTACCAGTTTCTTCAAGATTAGCCTATAGATTATGTAACATTTGATAAAAATTAATATTATATAAATAATACATATAAATATTAATAAATTTATTATTTTACCTTAGGAGCTGCACCCAAAATTCGTTCTTCCAAAATGGAAGAAATTTCAGCAGAACGCCGACTACAAGATACATGATATTTGCAAGAAGATATACTAAGAGGCCATTTGACCTATAATATTAAATTAAAATTAATTATTATTATACTTTAGAAATAGAATACCTAAACACTTATTACATAACTTGTTACTATTTGTTCTATTTATATAATCTATTGCACAAAAAAAAATTTAGAATATGTATTTTAATTATCATAAAATTTTGATAAAAACTGTTATAATGAATGAAAAATTTAACAATTTTTTCAAAAGTAAAAATTAAAATAAGTAAAGTATGGATCTATACGATTATTGCAAAGTAGAAAATGTCGGCAATCCATTTAAATATTTTCTCATAAACAAATTACAAAAAAAAATTATTTTTTAATATTACCTGAATTGTAGCGTTCGGCAATTGTCTTGCAATCGAAGAAACCAAACGTAAGGATAGGAGAGCCATTTTAATATATTATAAGTCCGTTAATCGGACTATGAATTCTGAAACGAAGAACGGTCAAACCAGAGACAGACCCAAGAATGTCTCATGTATCCCCACTTTAATAATCTTACCGACAGGAAGTCAATATCCATCGACTTGCGCGTAACCTCGTATCCATATACATATAATATTTCATAAATCAAATTGTTTTATGTTTAAAAGACATAAAAAGTATATTATACAAATTATATTTCAAACAAGTTTTTTAACGTATATATATGACTAATTAATTTTATAATAATAAGATATTAATATACTAAATTTTGGGTACGAGGTTATTTGCAATTATATAATGTTGTTACAAACAATTGGCGCCAAATTTTGAATTTGAAATATATACTGTGCAATAATTGCATGTTAATATTATAATAATATCATGTTAAAATAATTATTTTATATATAGAAATATATAATTAATATATGATGTAATTATCAACAATTAATAAATAATATTATTGTATACATTATATATTATTTTTATAATAATTATATAGTTTCTTTCATCATGAAAAAAAATTTATATTTAATATTTTATTTAAATTATTAATATATTATAAATTTTAATAAATTATTTATTCTTTAATATAATATTACATAAATTCAATGTTCGAATCCAAAGAATAATATATTATTATATATTATTATATTATATTATAATATATTATTATACTTAATATTTAATATTTTTTAATAATTAAATATTTTTATAATTAGGACAGAATAATAGAAAAGTATTTAATATTATATTATATATAAGAGTTTCGATATTTATGATTTTAAAAAATTTTATTAAGTTGTACTTCTACAAAATATCATGTTCATGTTAAGTTGATTAAATATGAAAGCATCATTGCACCGGCGCTAAAGTTTGTTATTGTTGTATTGTATTGATTAGTAATGACTGTTTTTGAAAGATATTTTATTACAATTTTTATTAATAAAGAAATAAGAAGTTATCAAAAAAGAAGTGAAAAATGTAAAAAATTGTGAATCTATATAAAAATATCTATCATTTTGTTAATTATTTTTGAGTTTTTTTTTTGAGGTTGATAAATGATAAAATAGATATCCATTGTTTACATGGATTATTATTTTATATTTAGCAATATACAAATTATTTTAATTAAAACATATATTTTAGATAAAGGAAAATTAATTAAATATAACAGAATTTTTATACAAAAATGATATTCTGTTTAATGAAATTACATATTTTCTGTTAAAAAATATTTAATATTAAATAAATAAAAATATGGATTCTGCTACTGAATCAGAGCATATAGAAAAATTAATAAAAGAAGCTGAAAGCTTAAAAATTCGTTTAGAAGATGAACGACAAAAATTAAATGATATTACTCGTAAATATTAATTTTATTATTTTTTAAAAATAGTAAAAAGTTTTTTAAAAATATATAGAAAATAAATCATATTAAAATATATAATTAATATTATTGTTTCAGTTGCTAGTGTAGCAGATAGATTAGAAGCTATTAGTTGCATTAATGTAAAACCACGTCGTGTTCTAAAAGGTCATCAAGCGAAAGTTCTTTGTTCTGATTGGTCACCAGATAAACGTCATATTGTATCTTCTTCACAAGTCAGAATAGATTTAATATTTTTTATTTAAATTTTTAAAATATTTTTTAATATGAAAATAATTCTAGGATGGCAAAATGATAATATGGGATGCTTTTACAACAAATAAAGAACATGCTCTTACTATGCCAACCATTTGGGTAATGGCTTGTGCTTATGCTCCAAGTGGTGCTCTTGTTGCTTGCGGGTATTAAATGTATTTAAAATTTATAAAAGAACAATAATCATTAGTTACAATATCTTAATTATTATATTTTTTTTTGCAGAGGATTAGATAATAAAGTTACTGTATATCCTTTGAGTCAAGAAGATGATGTATCAACTCGTAAAAAAACTGTTGCTACACATACATCTTACATGTCTTGTTGTGTATTTCCTAATAGTGATCAACAAATTTTAACGGGTAGTGGAGATAGCACTTGTGCTTTATGGGATGTAGAAAGTGGCCAATTATTACAAAGCTTTCTTGGTCATTCAAGTGATGTCATGTCTATTGATCTAGCACCAAGCGAAACTGGTAACACATTTGTTTCTGGTAGTTGTGATAAAATGGTTTTAATATGGGATATGCGAACTGGTCAATGTGTTCAAAGTTTTGAAGGACATCAATCTGATGTAAACTCTGTATGTAAAAATTTATTATCCTTGTTATTAATATAGCCTATATTATTAAAATAAACTATATTACCAAATTATAAGAAAATGATATGTATTTATATTATGTTGCATAGGTAAAATTTCATCCAGGTGGTGATGCAGTAGCAACAGGTTCTGATGATGCAACTTGTCGACTTTTCGACCTACGTGCAGATAGAGAAATAGCAGTTTATGCAAAAGAAAGTATAATATTTGGAGCAAATGCAGTTGATTTAAGCATTAGTGGACGATTACTTTTTGCTGGTTATAATGATTATACTGTAAATATATGGGATACCCTAAAATGTCAGCGAGTTGCATTTTTATATGGACATGAAAATCGAGTATCTTGTTTACGAGTTTCTCCAGATGGAACTGCTCTCTCTACTGGAAGTTGGGATTCAACTCTACGAGTGTGGGCTTAATTTTAATAAAATTGCATCCATAATCTTTTCATATTAAGTAAAAGTTAAAATTTTCTCTATACAGAATATAAATTTTAAATATTGTATAATAACATTACATTTTATTTTTAATTGAATTTTTAAAATAATAAGATATATCAAATATTGTAATATAAAAATATTGTTATAATTATTATATTGTAGAAAATAAGTGGAATTAGAAATCGTAATTGTCACGATTACAACAATGTGATAGCTTGAAATTAATAATTTTTAGGCTGGTCCTAATTCATAGAATATTCTGTAAATTGTATGTTTAATTAGATATACTATTATCTTGTATGAAATTTAATAAAAATTCAGTTCATGTGTATTTAATATTATTTACTTTTTTTTATGTGTTATTTAATTAATTAATTAATTTGTTATATCAAAACAAAAGTTATAATATAATATCCATGTTTTAATCAATTATCTATTTATTAATTGTATAATTGTAATTCATAAAAATAAATTACATGTTATTATTGTATTCATATACAATTTATACGTACTTATATGTATATGTTTACGTGCGTGCGTGTGTGTTAGTACACGAATACCTGACGGTGCATTTTATGCACATTAATAATCACTAGTGAAAAAATATATTGTAAATTAAGTACATCAAGTGATATAAATTTACAAAAACAAAAGTTTATTTATAAAGAAAAGAAAAGAAATGCCTCAATACTCAAGTATGTATTGAAAAAATTAAAAATTTTGAAAAATCTAACCTTAAATTTTTTTATTTAATTTTACGTCGAACAGTTTTCAGTATTTGATATATGAAGTATTTTATTTTAGTTAAAGTAAAGTGGGGAAAAGAACTTTTTTCTAATGTAGAAGTTAATACAGATGAAGAACCAATGTTGTTTAAAGCACAACTTTTTGCACTGACAGGAGTGCAACCAGAAAGACAAAAAGTTATGTTAAAAGGAATGACATTAAAGGATGATGATTGGGGCAATATCAAATTAAAAGATGTAAGAAAATAATAGTATTAATAATTTTATTATAACTAATTATAATGAAAGAATAATACTTTTATTATTTTAATTTTATTATAGGGTATTACTGTATTAATGATGGGCTCTAAAGAAGAAGATGTACCAGCAGAACCAACTGAAAAACCATTATTTTTAGAAGATATGAATGAATCTGCATTAGCCACTGCATTAGATTTACCAGCTGGTTTGACAAACTTAGGAAATACTTGTTATTTAAATGCAACTGTACAATGTCTGAAAACTGTCCCTGAATTGAGAGATGCTTTAAAGAATTTTCCAGGGGGACTTGCAGCTGCTGGTAGCTCATCGCTTGTACCTGCACAAAGTATAACTGCTGCATTAAGAGATTTATATGATAGTATGGATAAAGGATCAGCTTTGCCACCTGTTGTTCTTGTTCAAATGATGCATTTAGCATTTCCAAGATTTGCTGAAAAATCTGAACATGGTGGATTTCAGCAACAAGATGCTAATGAATGTTGGACTGAACTTATTAGAATGTTGCAACAAAAATTACCAGCAAAGGTTATTAAATAACTCAATTTTAAATTTTATTTTAATTGTCAAATACAAATAATAATGTTTCAAATTATATATTTATATATTATGTATTTATATATATCAAATAATCATAGGAAAATCCTGCCTCAGAAAATAATGGACAAAGTTATAAACCTCGATCATTAATTGAACAATATTTTGGAGGAACATTTGATACAGAATTAAAATGTATAGAATCTGAAGATGAACCCCCTACTAAAGGAAGAGAAGAATTTTTACAATTGAGTTGTTTTATTTCAACAGAGGTTAAATATATGCATTCTGGACTTAGAAATAAGATGCAAGAACAAATTACAAAAATGTCACCAACTCTTGGCAGAGATGCAATGTATACAAAAACGGTAAAAAATTTTATATAGTACAAAATAAAAATTTTTTATCTAAATTATTAAAATTTTTTTCAATAAAAATAATATATTTTACAGTCAAAAATTAGTAGATTGCCAGCATATTTAACAATACAATTTGTACGTTTTTATTACAAAGAAAAAGAAGCAATCAATGCAAAAATTCTCAAAGATGTCAAGTTTCCACTTGAATTTGATGTTTTTGAATTATGTAGCAGTGAACTCCAAAATAAACTTATACCAATGCGAGAGAAATTTAAAGAACATGAAGATCGCTTAGTAGAAGAATCCCGCAATATAAAAGATAGAAAAGATAAAACAGACAATAAAAAAAAAGTTAAACAAGAATCTTTCTGGTTTCCAGATGGTAATAAAGTACAAAAATTAAAAATAAATGGAAAATCGATATTTTTATATATTTTATATATTTATATTATTATATATATTACTATAATTACAGACATAGGATCAAATAACAGTGGTTATTATTCATTACAAGCAGTTCTAACACATAGAGGACGATCAAGTAGTAGTGGCCATTATGTAGCTTGGGTTAGACAAAAAAATGATACATGGTTAAAATGTGATGATGAAAATGTTAGCGCTGTAACTAGTGAAGAAGTATTAAAACTCAGCGGCGGTGGTGATTGGCATTGTGCATATGTTCTTCTATATGGTCCAAAAATTTTAGAAGTACCTGATACAGATAATAATGAGGATTCAAATATTAATAATAAGTAATTCTTATGTAATCGACAAGTTTTCCATAAAATCTGAAACATTTCCACTGTGCATCTATTAGGCAAATGCATTTTTTTATACAGATGAATGTTATTATAATTTCAATGTTAAGATACTATAGTATACTATTTGCAAAATCAATGGAAGTTATATCCTACTAAATTATGAAAATCTAATAACAATACATTACTTATATAATTTTTTGCATAATGTGAATATATAAAAGCTATACATTCATTGATTCTATACGCTTAGAAAATATGGTGATAATGAATCTTTGAATTATACAATAATAGATAATTATTGTAAACCATTAAAGTGTTCTTTTATAATAACATTACAATAAAATTATAATTAAAATTAGGATCATCTTCATTAATTTATCAATGTTCTCAATATTTATATTCATTTTATCAATATTTACTATTTTAACAAATATATTAAAAATATTATACAAATGTATAATATAATATTTTTACAATAATATGTAGAACAACAATATTATAACAACAATATAGATCAATAATATGTAATCATAATATTCAAAAAATATTTTTAAAATAAATATAATTCATTATAATTTTATTATTATTTATGCTAAAAATGAAAAATATTACTTATTAAAAAAAATCAGTGTATAAATCAGTATATCTTTAAACTTAGTCTGAATATAAATTAAAAAAGAATAAATTCTTATTAATATTTTTACGACATATCTTGTACAATAAATAATATTATTTTCTTTTTTATATTTTTTTTATAGAATTATAAATTATTATATTATATTTTATAATATTTTGGATTAAACTAGTAAAAAGATGTTTTTAAAAATTTGATAAAAATATTTAGAATAAATATTGATTTATCTATATTGATTGATCTATATCTACAAAGATATAACTGGATAAAACAATACAATCTGATAATATAATAAATGGGCTCTCACACATATATACATATATATAAAATACGATATAAAATACGATACGATATATTCTAAGCACATAGATATACATGAAAAACTTAAGATAGATGATTTGAAATGAGTAACCAGTGCAGTCATAGATGCTAACGATTACGGTTCTCAGTATTATACATATATCGTATAATTTATCAAAAAATATCGTGTAATACGTTTAGAAAGTTACAATCACGTGGATATATCGTACTGAATTGTTCTAATGCATTCTAAAACGTTTCGTAGTAAAATCCTATACGCATTCAAATTTTTCAGGTAATAAATTGATAAAAATTATATATATATATATATATAATTATTTATCTGTTATTTATATATAATATATTATATTATTATATGTCATATTAAATGATTTGATATGCATTAATCTAATCAATGAAATTGATATAGCATTATACCATATACAAAATATGATACAAAATAATTATATAATATCATGCTATACTATGATTAGTATACATATCATTATATTAAATATTTCACTACGTTTTATGTTTGTGCGCGTACGAATAATTAAAAAATGTTATTTATTTTCATTTGACAATTAAATATATAAATATAATTAATAACAATAAATTCAATTATTCTATAAAAGAAAATAAATCAGTAATTCATACAGAAACATATAACGTATATTATATTGTCTTTTTATAATTGTTTATTATTTTAATAAATATTTTTTTTTATTCAGTATAGCAAATCAAAAATAATAATTATTTTTTAAATAGTAAAATTAATAATAGAAATTTAAAACCACATAATAATGTATATATAAATAATAAAAATATTTAATTTAAAAGAAATAATCGAATTACAATTTTTTTCATGTACAATAAGATGTTTTAAACATAAAAAATAAACAGATATATTTAATAAAATTACATCGCGATTTTCATACTTACTATATAATTTAATATATATCATTAATTTTTTTTATTTTTACTCATATTTTATGTTAAAAAAATGTTTTATTTTTTTATTAATTAGAGAAATATTTATCAAATTAATTATAACTTTTCAAATTTTTTTATTATTTAATTTTATCAATTATTAAAGTATTTAAATACTTATTTTTTTTAATTAAAATAAAGAATGAATATTTTATAATATCTTATATGATACAATAAAGATATGTTAAATATGAAATTCTATAGATAGTAATTCAACGACTTGTATTTTTGATTGAGATGGTAAAAGATCGGTTAAATTCGGTTTTAGCCGATCCTACCCGAAAGTTATATTTCGCTAGTTACTGGCTACCTTCACCATGGGTGTTTTCACTTCTCTGTCGGTTTCTGATGAAAAGTTTGTTCGTTTATCGCGTTTGTTCTTAAAATAAATAGTCTTAGACGTGTCTTGAAATATTATACGGAGTGTGTTCATTTCGTAATTATATTTTTTGATGACAGATTAGGTGTGTGTTTTATTTTTCGCTGTTTTCAGTATCGCACATGTGAAAATTAGGATTTTGACGGATTTGATTTAATGCAATGGCGACGTTACTTTCCATTATATTGTCTACGTTTCTTTTTACCGTTAATTATTATTGTGCTTCTGAAAATTTTTGCAATTATACAATATCAGTGCTAAAAAATCAACAATAGAAAAGGAATGATCTTCTTTTGGTGTAAGATAATTTATATTGTTCCTGAATATTATGAACCGGTGGATCTAATTTAAATCAAGCGGGCTCTCTTATAAAGAATATTTTTTTCTTAATTTTTGTAATATTTTATCGTAAATTTTTATAATATGTTTTTTTGAAGAAATATTATTTATTTAATAGAGAGAAATTCTGTAATGAATTCATAAAAAAACTATTTTATCAGTTTTAAATTGAATTTGGATATTTATTTATTATATATTTTTTAAATTTTTTAAAAGTGTTTTCATATTTATTTTTTATTTAAAAAATGATTATATATTTATATAAATACATTTATTAAATGATCTAAATGCAATCAAATATTTAAAATATAAATCTTTTACATTTTACATTTCTGAATTAATTTTTTTATTGTTTTTAAAAAAAATTGTTTTTAATTTTTTTATTTTTTTTATATTGTAATAAAAAATATATATTCTAAAATTATAAAAAGAAATTTATTTTTCGTATTTTTCTTATTTAAATAATTTTAATAAATAATTTTATTTATATTAAGTTTATATATAAATTTATTATTGTTTTTAATTATGATTTTTTTTAAATTTAAATAATTAATTATTTCAACAAAACAATTTTAATAATAAATAAGTGACCAATAGGAATATATTATTAATATTAATAAAATAACATCATTAATACAATACATTGTTTCAATAGCATTAATAAAACAAATATGCAATTGGTGTTTTGCAACCTAACCTGAATTACAAAGGGCCATATTATGACGTCAAGTTCAGATCAACACGACACGACGAAAATGCATGTTCTCTCATTAGTAAAACATACATCTTTTTTTTGCATTACAATAGTATAGTTGTTTTCTATAGTGATGTGATAAAGTGTTATCATTAAAAGTGATTATCTGAATAAATATTCGCATTTATTATTTGTATTCTTTTGTAAAATTTTTAAATAATTAGAAGTGTTCAGTGTTTAAGTCATTCTAAATGCAAAGTGACTCAATATTGTTTAAGATTTTTTTAAAACTTTTTTTAATTTGTTACATATATTTAAATTTTAAGATTTTGAAAATAATATTATTTTATTGTGATTATTTTTTATGTGTACATAACAATTATTTATATCACGGAGAATATAATTTTTTATGATTTCGAAGATTCGCGAAAATCACAAACAATATTGAATAAAATGCAATTGTTTTAGAAAAAAGCAGATTACAATTTGTTTTATATCTGATTTATCTAAATGTTGTTTTAACAATAAATTTGAAGGGAATTGAATTATTATAAAAAAATGACAAATTTATTAAAAAATTTTATAGAAAGAAACGTTTAGTTAATTTTTTTTTTTATAATAAGTTAAATGCCAATTTTTAGTTGAGTGCAAGGTCTTAAGTCTGACAAGACTTGTAAGACTTAATTTTTTTAATGAGTGTCAGATGTTTGAAATTGAACTAGAAGTGGGGATTGGAAGGAGTGCAAGTGGTCGAAGAAACGATCGGCGTCGGGCGGAGTCGACGGCCGTCACAGTCGATATCCATGCAAAAGGATCAAACATAAAATATTGGAAGGACATTTGCAAAAAGAATTTTTATATTTCATGACTCAGTGACAGTGAATTTGAATATTGGACAAATTTGAAACTACATACAAAAAATGGGTAATTGTTTCAGCAGTCCAACAGATACAGAGAAAGAAAAGCCTGATAGAATAGGCAATCCAAATATAGAGGCAGTTGCATCTCAAGCTAGTCCAGTGCCAACACCACCTCCAGATCCTATCAGGCCTATGCCACAAATTCCAGATGCGGATGTGCCAACTGCAAAAATTTTTGTTGCACTTTATGATTATGATGCACGTACAGATGAAGATTTAAGCTTCAGAAAAGGTGAACATTTAGAAATTTTAAATGATACTCAAGGAGATTGGTGGTTAGCTAGAAGTAAAAGAACTCGACAAGAAGGATATATTCCCAGCAATTATGTTGCAAAGTTAAAGTCTATAGAAGCAGAACCGTAAGTTTCAGTTAGTTATTTTAATTTATATTTTAATATTTACTATTTAAAAATCTTTTTTTTGATAAATATAAAATATTTATTAAAGTCTTTGTATATATTATAATATTTGAATATTTTAAAAAAATTAATAATATTTCATAATTTTAATTTTATAATAATGTAATTTACTATTTATACTTTTATTGCAATAATTATAGAACAATAGATAATGAGTGATTATAAAATTAACATAAATTAGATTAAAATGCTAATCACATAAAAGTTTACAGTTATACATTCATTTAAAAAAATACATAAGGTTATTATGTATTAAAAGATATTAAATATTATATAATATAATATAGATAATATATAATAGATTGAAAAAAAAATAATAAATTTTAATTTTTTTGTTTTTATTTGTTACATTTCATTAAATGGATTTCTGTAGTCAAGTAATCATAATTATTCTTTTTTTTTTA